GTGATCGGTGCGATGAAAATGATCCTAAGCCAATGCCACTGCCTTTACAGTCACCAGATCTCAAACCAACAGAACATGTTAAGCAGTGCCCTTTGTCAAAACACGAAATGAGGAGATACCTTTTGGAAGAAAGGTACTCCATCCCTCTAGTAGTTTTACACTAGTAGGATCTATGCCAATGCATTCCGAAGCTGATCCGGCAGCTTTCGGAGGCCGCATACCTAAGTAAGATTGTTCATGTTGATTTTTCCATTAATTTGTCACCCATCTGTATTTAGTACAGTGCAGAAGTCTATAGCACCCTACATTCCTTTTTAATTCAGTATAGTTCAAGATGTTTATTCTTCGTTTTCCAGATTGTTACATAAGAGAAAAGGTGCATTTGAGATACCAAATACAAATTTAAAAAATAATTTTACAAATAAACGTTTGTATTTCATGAAAGGCAGTTGATACAGATGATATAGCCTTAACAACCCAAATCTGAACAAGGATAAACTGGGGAGACGGAAGCGAGATAGATCATCCGCAGAACAACAGTGGCATATTCTCCAGCATACATGAAACAACCACACCACCACTTATCGTAGAAAATGAAAGAGCAGTGTACCTGATTTTTAGGCAATGGGTAGTCACACCAAATATGATTTGATTTAGTTTTCAACAGTTTACAGCTCTTCATAATAAATTTTTCCAATAATTAGAAACTTTTAATTTCACTATTACGGGAGGCATCTTTGCCTTAAATGTGCCCAAGACTTTTGCACTGTACTCTGTGTTTTATACATCTGAGGAAGAATGTGCACAGCCGAGGGAAGGCCATATCCTCTTCGGTGATTACTGGTTCCTGACACGTACTTGCACAGACTCCAATACCCAGAACAATGGGAACATCTGCGCCATTATAATATCATATCTCGCAACTAGACTCAATGATTTTTCCTTGTTTACAATGGCTGTACAGGCCACTGAACGTGTGCGGAGAAAAAAAAAAACTTACAGAAATACTGAATTCAATGTATGGGTACAGGTTTTCAGGTTTTGCTAGGCCAATGCAAGGTCTATAGGAAGAAGGGGATAGTGGTAGGGGGCAGTGGATCACATGATGTTATTGAGACTTTCGCTTATCGAGGTATAGAGGTCCACATTATACATCGGTTTCATTGTTTTTGAGTCAAAATAGCTTTCAAACTCCCCAAACAGTAAGCCACTGATACCGCAACCCCATTAAGTGCACAAATGTTGGGCATATCGGCAACAAAAGACCAGGGGTTAAAAATATGCAGAGAAAATAACCAGGCAAGAGTTGGGCACAGAAACGTAACATGGTTCAGTTGTTCCCAGTCACAGGCATGTTCAGTGACACTGCTCTGTACCGCAAGGCCACTGAGAGCCTGACACTTACTGAACGATGACTGCTCGTCTTTTTTTAGCCTTCCATATCTGACTCGAGGCAGTGACGGACCTGCCATCCTTTGCTGAGAACCATTGATTGCTCTATGCAGAATAAGGGAGAGCACAAGTTGCTGTTAAGACAAAAGGGGCAGCTGGGGCACTTGCTACTGTATCACACTGCAGGCCAGAAAAGGGTCACTGCAAGCAGGGGAAGGCAATCATTGCTGTATCTCAAGGAGCAGACGGGAAAATTTATTGTACCCTGTTCAAAAAAAAAGAGAGGGCAAGTTCCAGCCATTGAATGCAGTAACAAAGGTGGGGACACTAGTCTGCATACACAGAGAGGAGGCAGGGGACTAGTTACCATTACATAGGGTAACTGGAATCAGGTTACTGGATGCAAGGGGGCACTGAGTAGCCCCCTCCCTCAGCAGTGTGCTGGACAGTGTGCTCCTGCAGGGCGCCCAAGTCACCAAAACGCTCGCCGCACCAGACACACTTAAACTGAGCCTCACGGGCATGCACGCTCTGGTGCTTAGCGAGGTGCTCGCGCTGCTTGAAGCCCTTGTCACAGGTCGGGCACTTGAAGGGCTTCTCGCCAGTGTGTACGCGGCGGTGGCGCTGCAGGTCCGATGAGTACTTGAACCGCTTCTCGCAGTCGGGGCACTTGAGCGGCTTCTCGCGAGCCGGGTCGCAGCGGTGCTGCACGAACTCCGACGAGGACAGGAAGCGGCGATCGCAGAGGGAGCACTTGAGTGGCTTCTCGGAGCAGTGCGCGTTCTGGTGTCGCTGCAGCGTCGACGACTTCTTGTAGCCCTTGCCGCAGATGTCGCACTTGTAGGGCCGGTCGGGCGAGGAGGTGGTCGCCCCGCACTTGTGGCGCAGTAGCTCGGCTGAATGGCTGAAGCCCTTCTGGCAAGAAGCACACTTGAAAAGGCTCTCCATGCCGTGGACGTGCTGGTGGTAGAGCAGGTGCGAGGCCTGCAGGAAGCCCTTGTCGCACAGGTTGCACTTGAAGGGGCGGTCGGCCGAGCTCTTGTGAGTCCGGCGATGACGGACGAGCGCGTACTGCTGCTTGAAGCTCATCTGGCACTCTTCGCACTGGAAGGGCCGTTCCTCCGAGTGAGTGCGGGAGTGCTGCCTCAAATCCGAGGGCCGCTTGAAGCCCTTCCCGCAGGTGGTGCAGCGGAAAGGCCGCTCGCCCTGCGGCTGGCACTGGTGATGCAGCAGCTCCGAAGACTCCTTGAAGTGCAGCTCGCACAGGTTACACCTGAACAGGTGCTCGCCGGAGTGCGCGTACATGTGGCGCACCAGGTGCGAGCGGTGCTTGAAGCTCTTCTCGCACACGGCGCACTTGAAGGGCCGCTCCGAGCTGTGCGTGCGCTGGTGGTGCGCCAGGTGCGACGACTGGCTGAAGCTCTTGTCGCAGGTCTCGCACTTGTACGGCTTCTCGCCCGTGTGCACACGCTCGTGACGCGAGAGCTCCGAAAGGTGGCGGAAGCCCTTCTGACACACCGAGCACTTGTAGGGCCGGTCAGGCGTGGAGGCTACAAAGCCCGTGGGGGCGGCCATTCCGACGGCCGCCCCGCTGGAGGCTGCGCTGTCCGTGGAGGGCTGCTGGGGGTTGGCTGCTGAGGTGGTGGGCGTGGCGTTCCCGGAAGAGCCCGGGCGGTAGGTCTTCTCGCAGATGGAGCACTTCATAGGGTTACCGCTGCTATGAGAATTGTGGTGCTGGGCCAGGGAGGTGAGCAGGGAGAAGCCCATCTTGCAGACGCCACACACAAAGGGCTTCTGCTCCACCTGCACACACTGGTGCTCCAGCAAATCGGTGGCCTGATGGAAAATCTTCAGGCACTGAGTGCATTGGAAGGAGCGGTCCTGGCTCACCATGCACTGATGTTCGTGCGGGTTCGCCAGGTGGGAGATGTCGTGGCCGCAAGCCCCGCACTTGTGCCCACCCTCGCCCGCCACCTGGAGGGAAGGTTGCTGCGGCTGAGCAGCGTGCTGCTGGCCGTGCTGTTGCTGCAGAGCAGGGTCGGGCTGCAGGACAATCCCGTACACGGCACAGCCCAGGGAATTCTCCGACCCCGGCGGGATGGCGTGGACCACGGGCGGTGGGCCCACGGCATGCTGCTGCCACGCCTCCGTCATCCTTGTTCTACCGAATGGATTCAGCTTTCAAACTGTGTTGGCAAATCTATGGACCACTGAGTAGGTGCACACCACTCTCCCAAAATTTAAAAGGTCCAGAGTCCAGTGATGGCCAGTGATAGTGCAGCGATGGTTGGAGTCCACAAAAAGAAATAAACTGATACAACAGTTTAGTTTTGACTTGTAACTTTCAACAACAGTTCAGAAGAGAGGTCTGGTAGTGGTTAACCACGTCCTCATGGCTTCCCTGATATTTCCTGCAAGGAGAAGAGAAATGCACAACTAAGCAATGCTTTTCCATACAATAACACAAAGCATTAAAAAAAAGGACAATGGGATCAAGGGTTTGGAATCATTTTACACAAACAAAAATTGATCGATAAAAGATGACCAACACTGAATTTCCTATTCATTTTATTTAAACCAAAGCAGGAAACTGTCGGTAGTCCATAATACTACTGCTAGAGATTGTAGTTGTAGTTGTCAGTTATAAAGCTTGATCGTATTTGCCTTGGGCAGGAATCTCAGAGGGCATCACTCAGGTCCTAGCACAAGCTGAGCAAAGAGAATGTTCAATCAAAACAAAAACCTACCCCCTGTGATTTCAGAAGGCTACACAATCACAGAACAGTCATTGTGGGATTGTCACATATAGAGGAAACTTGTGGTAGGAGACTGACTCAAACATTATGGCGTTCAATTTCTCTGGTAAAGCTCACCATCAAGGGCAGACTTTTGATTCACTTGAAAACCATACGGTGCCAAGTTTTCGAGGTAATGGAGGAGCCTGAAGTGCTTGCCTTTATCAAATACTAACAACAGCCATCAGGAGATGGCATATCCCCCCAGCCCCACGTCATCAACTTCAGATTAGCAAAAGGCACCACATCAGGTCATGACTAATGTGCACACCAAGTTTTGTGAAAAAATATTGAATGGTTTTCAAGTTATGCTCTGGAAATGAAATGTTCACAGACGGACGGACGGACAGACAACCACACCCATGACTATATCCCCCCGCAATATATGCCAGGGGGATAATAACAATAATTTAGACGAGAACTCTGTTGCTAAATGAAACTCAAACTTAAAATGAGGTCTCAAAAAAGTAAAGTGAGTTTGGGAAAATACCTCACTCTGCTAATCTACTGATGACCTCGCTGAGCACTACCACATTTTACACAAAGGTTTGCACTGTTCAACATTAACAGTCTGATTGTTTAAAGGGACAATTTGCAGATGATTCAACCATTATTAGTTTCCAAGTGAAGGCTTTGTAAATAAGTCGCACACACCATACACATTCTCCCACAGCAGCTTGAGATATCTGCATGTCATAGATGGCATAGCATTGGAATATCATTCATTTAACTACAAAGAGGACTGATTGTGATGAAATACTCAAAGGCTGTCCAGTGCCTAAGTGCACTGGCTACAAAAAGGCCAAAGCTTTTGGGTGGGTGGCACAGTGGTGCAGTGCTGCCTTGTAATAAGGAGGTTCCAGGTTTGAGTCCTGACAGCCCAGGGCCTCCCTGTCTGGAGTTTGGATGTTCCCCCTGTGTTCGCATGGGTTACCTCCCGGTACTCCGGTTTTCCCCCACCCAGAAAAACATGCATTATAGGAACACTCCTACCAGCGCCCCTGACCAAGGAACTGGCTTTAGAACTGGAGCTGGTCCCCAGGTGTTGCTCTGTAGCTGCCCACTGCTCCTAACAATAGGATCGGTTCAATGCAGAGGAGAAATTACTCCACTTGGTTCAATAAAGTATATCCAAATCTAAAAACGAAAGGTGTAATTTTTCACTCAAACAAAGTACAGAATGGACAATAAAAACAGCAATGGGCTATTGCAAACACAAGTTATAAAGCAAACAAGTTGCATACCTGCCGACACTGGAATTTCAGAAATAGGGATGCTACTAGCCAGGGGTCGAAGGGGCCGCCGAGGGCCCCCGCAGGGCCCTTGTGTGAGTACAAGTGGAGCTCTTGGCATTTTTAAGGTAGAGGAAAGGCCGTTTTGAGACTGATAAATTGACATCATAAGCTGCACAGTAGTATATAAAAATAAAAAAAAAACATAAAATTTTGAAAAAATTTTTTTTTTTTGCAAAAATAGGAACGTCACAGTTTTTTGTGATCTGGAACTTACAGACAGGGACAATTCAAGTAAACCAGAGCTGTAGGCAGGTAGGATGCTCGCAAATAAGTATACAAATGTACGAGTTTGCAGCCAGAATTTTCTTCTTGAAGACTACATGAGAGATCAATCAGTGTTGGGCTGTCCTCCTAAACGAAGTTCGGAGAATGCAGCCATATTGTCAATTTTCTGAACCAATCAATTAACGTCGATCAAAACTCACTTTGCACTTGATATCCACAAGAGAAGAGAAGCTGACTGATGGAGTCGCCAGTGCGCAAGCTAACCAGGCAGCTGTTTTCTTATGTTAACTCAAAAAATCTGGGGAAAATTCCACTTTGGTGACCATGTGTCTTCCAGCTCAAAGTTTCTTCAAAGTTCAAATGCAATGCTTCATTGAGGGAACTTGCTAAAGAGGTAACATCCACCATCGTCAAGCATGAATTCTGCAGCAATCACTGCCATGCATTTTTGCATTAATGCTGCATAACAAAAGTACATTTATTTGTGCACGGACTGACAACACACACGGCGGCAGCCCCCACTGAAGAACGTAAAATTAAGTTAATATAAAAAAACTTCATAGTTTTACTGAAAATGTTTCGAAATCCTTTTATCCTGACAATGAAAAATGATTTACTCCGAAAAGCAGTATTGTTTATTTATTCTGCTCAGTAAATAATGACATGCGTCTACAGGCGAGTAATAACAAAAGTCATCAGAAGATGACATATCCCTCCGGCCCCCACAATCTACTCTCAGAAATCCCAAAATATCAAAAGCCACCAGTCTAGAACCCAATACGCACAGCACGTTTCATTATAAAAAATACTGAATGGTATTCGATTTGTCGACGGACAGGCAGATGGACGGACAGACGACCGCACTGACGACTATATTCCCACGCATTCTACGCCGGGGAGATGATGAGATACCAGTTGTGCGCCCAGCCACCTTTGAATCATTCACGATTGCGAGGCAGTAATTCAAGAAATCCTCAACTCCGTGATTATTTCGGTCCAAAAGTTAGAACATGTTTGAAAGCCACAGCATTTATGTCGATGCTGCCCATACGCAGAAACTCACTTTGGAAATGTAAAAAATCAAGACAACATCTTTGTTTCGGTTTGCATAATCTGAAAGGCGTTAGCAAGGAGTGCCATAAATGTGCATGTATGTACAGAAACTCACTTTGACAGCGCAAATATCAAGCCAACATCTCTGTTTCGGTTTGCATAATCTGAAAGACGTTGACAAGGACTGCCATAAATGTGCATGTATGTGCAGAAACTCACTTTGACATTGTAAAAATCAAGCCAACATCTTTGTTTCGGTTTGTATCATCTGAACTACGTTAGCAAGGAGTGCCATAAATGTGCATGTATACTATAATGTTCAATACTATACATATAAATACTATACATACATGAATGTACTATACTATGTACACTATACTGTATACTATGCTCCACATACCACAAGTATGCATAAATATACATCAAGAAATGTAAATAGTTCACTTGCGAAATGGTAGTCTCTACATGCTTATGAGATACAAACACACAGCTCAGTTCAATGAATTGTACTCCTCCATGTGCCATTGTCTGATGATGTTTGACTGAACGAATAGATGGGTGCTTATTGTTTTTTTTGTTTTGGACACAACATAAAGGCATAAAAATGTCGGTGCACCTATAATCGGGGTAGGGCTAATCTTCTGAAAGCATTCTGCTGAAAAACTACAACCATCTATACTTTCCTTCATAATTTCTTTATTTCTTAATATATTGTGATGAAATTTTCACCAGTTATTATTGAGATGTATACCTCTCAATATCTAGTTGAGTTGATGAAAAAAAGAGGAATTAGTGGGCGAATTTTCAGCAAATTAGCCCTACCCCTATAATCGTCCAGCGCTAAATAATGGAGGGAAACAGAGGGAAAGTACCAACGATACCATGCTAGCCAGCCAACTTCAAAGGCAAAGAGGAAATCACATTTCGCGTGAATGTTCCGCATAGATAACCGGCAATGTTGCTCGCTAGCCACCTCGTTATCTTATTTTCCCACGCAACTATAGCTAAAACCATGCCAATTATTGCATCGATTGCAGGATTCGTCTGAAACAGGGTGCACTCAAGTTAACTTGGCCCAGCTAGCTAGCTTGCGACCGTTAGCGAAAACCCAACTTAACATTAGCTAGCTACAGTCATTCCCTTTCCGACAACCATTCTTCGCAATGCCTACGGGTTGACATAACGTCAGCTTTGACTTGAATGATCGCAATACAACCTTCAAACTAGTTCATCTAGAATCTGCATGTGAAACGCGACCAAATTAATTATTCGGCCCATGGCTGGAAAGCAATTTGTCTCAACTTGTTTACGAACGACGCAAAGCATCAAACAAACCCGTTTTTCCCCCCAACGCAAGTCACGTAACGTTAGTTAGCTAGCTGCTAAGTAGCCGACGTGAGCAAACTGCAACGAATTTGGTCGCAACGTTTCTGAAAACTCAGCCAGAGATAAATTAGGCACAGAAATACAGAGTAAAGCTGCTTTCACTCCGGATGCGAAACGAATTTTTCGCACGGCAGATTACATTCAAAGTCAATGCAAAGACACGAATACACGCGTTTCTTTGCATTGACTTTGAATGTAATCTGTCCTGCGAAAAATTCGTTTCGCGTCCAGTGTGAAAGCGGCTTAAATACCTCCGCGGGCCTTCAATGTGCACTCCTGCAAACAACATAAGATTAATCTTGTTTTCTGCGACAAATGTGACACCAATTTACATTACCACTGTGTCTTGCACAGCGGCGACTGGAGGCCCAGTTCTCTGAATCCGTGGACACTAGACCGGTAGAGCTCGCTCTCACCCTGCTAATTTTGAGGCCGGATCCGACTGGAAAGAAGGAATTGTGTGTATTCCTAGCAGCATATAATAAGCAACTAGTTTCATTTGAGCATTTTTCTCCTGATTTCTTGAGCGGTCCTTCTGATAAACTCAACTCCCCATCCCTTCGAAGGCCTACGCTCATTATCTCTCTCCAGGTTCAGGGGCCCAAAGCGAAAATATGCACAATAGGGCACAGTACACGGGAACCTGAATACAACCGGAAACCTCTCTTGGCCGTAACACCCTGCCTATCTGTAGCGCTACTGAACACACACTGATGCGGCGGGGTTTTCTGAGACACAACAATTGTCGACTATCTTCTCCGTAAGCTAAGCGGCTATTTGTTTATACAACAAACGCTGCATAATGGTCCTAGATTAAAAAAGTGCCCCCTCACGAAATAACCTGAAGTTAATGTAAACATATGACCGAACAGATAGGGGATTTATGCATTGTTTCGTGGCATAGGCCTGAACGTGTTTTCCGAAAGTCAACATACATTTCAGTCACAATCTATTTCCAATTGTCTTTACAATTTTGAGAAATGACATTGTTCATAAGTTTGCTTGCAGCTGTGGATGGTCATGTCCCCATGTTTCCAAAATCAGCTCATTGTACCCTGAGTCGTATTTTCTCAATGTGAAATTAAGTCCACAACTAGCCTACACCATATTTCCACACTTCGATTCTTGTAATTTAATATGTGTGAAAAGAATAATATCAACAGCTGTGTTTGTATTATGTGGTTTCAATTACCGAATTCCCAATCAAAACACTCAAGTTACATGCCACATTTCAGTGGGCAATGGATTTAGTTTTAGTACAACCTAATGGACAGGATCTACTATACTTGTGATTTCATGATTTTATTTGAGCACATTTAAATAGGCTTAATGCCTGGCCAAATAATTAAATTCATGGTCCATACATCGGGTTAAAACAATGAGGAAACAGTATTTATTCCAAAACATTCATGCTAATGTTTTCGTATTTCTCATTCAGTAATCAATTCGCAATGAAGGCCAATGTGTAAAAAATCATTGGCATTTATCAACTGTACGTAAGCGCAGTCGTACGCGGAAGTTACATCATGGGTTCTATTAATAGAATGTGGTTTATCAATATTGAGGCAACGGGTGACCACGTGCAAATTTACGCCCTCCATTTCATAGTGGTGGACAATTGTAATCACAAGAAGATAGGCTGAACTGAGAAAAATTCACTGTAGGTGCATTTCCGAGATATTTTTGAACATTATTTTCCCTGATTGAAATTGTGCATAACGCAAGTGATTGACATAAGTGTTGATGCAAATTGTTCAAATACGGGTCATCTAAATACATTTTAACGCATAACGACGTTTCTCACAAACTTCTTGATGCATGAGTGGACTGTAAATGTAGGTTTATAACGCCGTACTGCAGATGCAGCCTCTGACATATGAGGGCAAGCCTACAGTTTTTCATTGAATCAGAGATGTTCAGTAAA